CCCGACCCTGCAGTGCCACCGTCCGGCCGGCCGTTTATATACAACGGCCGGTCGGGAAGTGGTTAAAAACATGTCTCAACTATGGAGTTTTAAAGCCCCCAAACTGGAAATGTAAACAAGCCCTTACTGTCCTGAATCCCCTATAACACTGCTTTCACACTGATGTGCTGCGGTTTACCTACATGGTGGGTGCAGCTCAGTCGCCTGCGGCTTTCCTGTGGGTTAGCTGTCCTTTGCCATAGACTTCTGTTATATTTTGCAGGTGTGGTGCACTTTCAGAAAACATACCAAACCTACAGGATAGAAATAGAAGTCTATGGTTCAGTGCAGCTAACCTTCAGTAAAGTCACTGGTGCACTGCAGATTAGTGTGAAAGCAGCCTAATAACCCCTTTTTTAAAAGTGCTAATATGCCCATTGCAAAACAATATGATGTTTAATAAACGTCAGCTACTGGCATTGCTAGGTTTCTAAAAAGCTTCTAGGCCACGTGCACTTGGTTGCACTCTGTTTGGGACAGGAACCAGCTCTACAGAGGAGCATCCTGCGTCCTCAGCTGCCGCCGCTGGCTCCATGCATTCTGGAGCTCTGGGATGGAGGGTTGGCAACCTGTGATCTGGGCTTGCTGACCCCGTCATCCCAGAGCATGAGGTCGCAGGCCACATCAGACGGCTCTGAGAACCTCGGGTTGAGCACCCCTGTTGTAAAGTATATTTAAAGCCCAAATTATTTTTAGCATTGGATACAGTAGAGGATGGGATTGATTAATACCACCTTGGTCAGTTGACTTTTTTGCAATCTCTGTTCCATTGGGAAAATTTCCCTTTACTTCCTGACCTATAGACACAGCTAGAAGTAAAAGCAAATATTTGGGTAGTGGGGAACTGCTCCCTTGTACAGTTTGCACCACAAGTGTCTCCACTGGAAGATTTCCCCTCTGCTCTGATGACATCTCAAACTTTTGGATTTTCTCTCACATTTTGTTCCATTTACCATGGTCACTAGTACAAATAGAGAAGGTGAATCTCCCCAGAGAGGGGGCATAGACAGCAGTAAAAAAAAAAAAAAAAAAACCTGACAGGGATTCTAATCGCACAACTTCTTTATTCAGATCTTAGCTGTAGCGTTCTAAGGAGAAAGAATGACAACAGTCCATTTTTCCTATATTTCTACTTCTAATTGTTAGAGGCTTGGTGACTTGATAAGTGTTTCCTTACAAAATTAGTTTGGGTTATGTGATTATACTGTACCATGTACAGTACTTGTGTGAAAAAGTGTCCTGTTCAATTTTTATTGCTTCCTTTGTGTGCAATCCCTGGTGTTCCTGCTAGTCTCCCTGCTTTTCTGTTTCAAGCTGACCACGTAGGCCATAGAAACACATCCTACAGAACGTGGTCGATTTTTGGCATTTCTGAGAGAACAGCCTGCCTATCCTCCAGTGCCCAAGACATGTGACACACCTCCCTGGCACAGCCATTCACTGGGAAGATCAATGTACTACTGTTTCTCCACCCCTAGCTCTCTAAGCAGCTGAGAACAGATTATGTGGTCACTTGCAAGAAAAAAACCCACTCAAATGTTTTTCTTATCAGTTTGAAACTGAGTGGGTTGTTTTACAGGGTAAGGGTTCACATATACTTTAAAAGGTGCAGAAGCACCTGGTTGCCTGTTGGTTCTGTAAATTCGATGTAAAACAATCACTACAAAAGAGAGTTTCATGGATTCTACTTGTACTGTATCCCATTCGTGTGTGGTAATGTTTTGTTGGCATTATGTATTGTGTGAATTGCGGCTTTCGATTTTGGTAGCAAAAACCATAAACATTGCCACCAGTGAAAACTTTTATCTACGTTACCTGGTTTTTCATTTGTTCACTTTCTTTCATCAATTAGCATTTCTTTCACCATCACTGGAGTCATTAGAAAATCCAATAGGTATGTGCAGGGCATGCAGTTGTTACTGTTGCATTTTTATGTCTTCTCAGTATTGGCTGTGCTTACCAACAAATGCTGGAACTAAACTTCTCAAGTCAATTTTCAGTCTTAACGACAGTTTAATATATGCTCGCACTTGGGCCATGGAAGATATATTTTTATTGTGTGAATGCTTTGATTTTGAACTGTTTCCCAGAGGTTTGAATGCTGTCAGACTATTTCGCTAATACTCCTAACTGGTTATGTACAATTGTATTGCTTGCAGCTTGTTCTGCATCTTTTATTTGACGTTAATGGCTCCATTCTCTCCTGCAGACTTACAACTTGACTACACTCTGACAGATGAATTCTGCAAGAATCATTTTCTAGTGGGTCTGCTGCTCAGAGAAGTGGGGAATGCACTGCTGGAATTCAGAGAAATCAGGCAGATTGCCATTAGTGTATTAAAGAGCTTAATGATCAAGCATTCATTTGATGACCGATATTCTTCCAGGGTAAGTGATGTTTACAAAAAAATTTCTTTCCAAATTAAGCATGTATCTTCTTGATTAACCTGCTGTAGTTGTTCCGTCACATACAGTATACTGTACTGACCTTTAGCAATACCAATCTATTTAGTTTACTTATAAAGTGTTTATGGGTATAAAGGTATGTGCTTAATATAGTCTGCATGTTTCATGATTTAAGAGTAAATAAACATCTTGTGCTTTGTGCATTCTCATTTCCTTGCAAAAATGTCTAGTGCCTTTCAGTTTGGCCTCAATGATTATGATCACAGTGGGTTGGTGAAATGCAGGATCAGATTTCCACTGTAATGTAAAATCATGTGGGAAATTATTAAAGTGTTTACGATAGGCAGATGGCTTAGTAAACTAGCTAGAGTGCAGAGTTTTAATTTCATGGATTTTGAAGCCTTCCCTCCATGATATTTTAACAAAAAGTAAAACTGGTCAGATGTACAGGCAGCTCTGGAATTTTCTTACATCCATCCAGTTGTTACATAAGTATTGATGGGATAATTAGACCTGTCAACAAAATATTATATTTTTTAGATACTTTGCAATATTTGATATGACAATGCACATACTCAGCCAAATATATGTTTGTGTTTAGCCCCTCTTTGAGTAGTTGCTTGTTTGAAGGGAAAGAAAGGTAAACCTTTCCATTAATGAAGCTGATTCTTAAAGTCCAGCTGCAGGCATGATATGTAATGATGTTAATATTAGGAAAAAATGCTAAGAGGGTCCTAGAGTGGAAGATAAGGCTAATAACTTTTCTTAAAGTGGAGCTCCACACAAAAGGGGAAGTTCTGCTTTAAGGACTTCTCCCCCGCTCCCCATTAAGGATTGGCACCTTTGGGGGCAGGGGGGAGCGGGTACTCGAATTTGACAGGTATCCACTCCCTCTTCCGGTCAGATTGCCTAGGGCCTAGGCGACTGGAAGCGAAAGGTGTCCTCCCTCCCTGAAGACTACAGGACCATTCATGAAGCACAATGCTACTTGCGCATGCACAGTGGGTACCCGGCTGTGAAGCCAAAAGCTGTCACAGCCGGGTGCCCACACTGAAGATGCCGGCCTTCTGGAATACAGGACGGCTGGTGAAATGGGCTGCGGGGGACACACTGCGGGACCGAGGAACAGGTAAGTGGCTGTTTTTTTAAAAGTCAACAGCTACAGTTTTTGTAGCTGCTGACTTTTATTTTTTGACAGGGTGAGTGGAACTCAGCTTTAAGAAATGTTTCTCCACTCTCCTCCTACCTATCCTGCATACCCTGTATAAAAAAGCTCCGGTCCGTTCACATGATTCTGCAGCTGTTGCTTCTCAGTGTTAGTGAACGTCTGCTGCAGGAGAGAGTTCAAACAACTGGGCCATGGGCATCTTTGGGTGATATCACAGCTGTGGGAATTCACAACTGTTGGGAGTGCTCTGTTACACAGGGGAGCCAGAGATGCTGAATCACGGGACGGCATTTCATTAAAAATAGTTAAGTACACAGATCCTTTTTTTTTTTTTTTTTTTTTCTCTTTCATGCAGGATACCGTATATACTCGAGTATAAGCCAAGTTTTTCAGCACATTTTTTGTGCTGAAAAACGGCCCCCTCCCTCGGCTTATACTCGAGTCAACGTCTGCAGGGGGCTGCTGCCTCTTACCTGGCTCCGGTCCCACGACGATCCGGTCCAGGAAGTGCGGCTGCTCCTTCATTCGGTTCGTCCACTGCATGTTCGCGCGGCTGCTCGGCTCCGCCTTCTCACCGGTGATTGGCCGCCAGAACTGTAGCTCAGGAAAGGCACACAGGCGGCCAATCACCGGCGAGGAGGCGGAGCTGAGCGGCCCCGCGAAAATCGAGTGAAGGAGATGCAGGTAAGTGTGCCGTGCTTAGGTGCTGCTGCAACCACATATGCTGGCTGCAGCAGCACCATACTGGAACAGGGGCCAGCAAGTGTCAGTGGGAGGAATAGTGCCCCATCATTGGTGTCACTGATACCAATAATGGGGCATTATTCCTCCCACTGACACCAACGATGGGGCACTTTTCCTCCCCCCCACTGACACCAACGATTGGGCACTATTCCTCCCCCCCCCCCCCCCACTGACACCAATGATGGGGGCACTATTCCACCCCCCACTGACACCAATCATGGAGCACTATTCCACCCCCCCACTGACACCAATCATGGGATACTATTCCTCCCCCCCACTGACACCAACGATGGGGCACTTTTCCTCCCCCCCCACTGACACCAACGATGGGGCACTATTCCTCCACCCCCCCACTGACACCAATGATGGGATACTATTCCTCCCACTGACACCAATGTTGGGACACTATTCCTCCCACTGACACCAAAGATGGGACACTATTCCTCCCACTGACACCAAAGATGGGACACTATTCCTCCCCCCCACTGACACCAACGATGGGGCACTATTCCTCCACCCCCCCACTGACACCAATGATGGGATACTATTCCTCCCACTGACACCAATGATGGGACACTATTCCTCCCACTGACACCAAAGATGGGGCACTATTCCTCCCACTGACACCAAAGATGGGGCACTATTCCACTGACACCAATAATGGGGCTATTCCCCCCACTGAAACCAATGATGGGGCACTATTCCTCCACTGATACCAATGATGGGGCACTATTCCTCCCACTGACACCAATGATGGGGCGCTATTCCTCCACTGACACCAATGATGGGGCGCTATTCCTCCCACTGATACCAATGATGGGGCACTATTCCTCCCACTGATACCAATGATGGGGCACTATTCCTCCCACTGATACCAATGATGGGGCACTATTCCTCCCACTGATACCAATGATGGGGCACTATTCCTCCCACTGATACCAATGATGGGGCACTATTCCTCCCACTGACACCAATGATGGGGCACGATTCTTCCCACTGGTGTTCCCACCCTCGGCTTATACTCGAGTCAATAGTTTTTCCCAGTTTTTTGTGGTAAAATTAGGTACCTCGGCTTATATTCGGGTCGGCTTATACTCGAGTATATACGGTAATTAGGAGTAAGGGGTATGAACATTTTTAAGAATAATTAGTACTAGCATTTGTTACCACTTTGACCTCAGTTTCATGGTATGCAGCTGACTAATAGCTGTTTTAAATGTGAAATCTTATTCCTGTGAGATAGATAGTACAGCTTCCACTTGTGGTCCATTGCTGACATTGCAGCAGCACATGCATTAGACATAAGCTGAGGTTAGGACCTCTTTAAATATCTTTTTCTAATTAAAATGTCAATGTAATCCTCTGTAATTCCATTGTAAATATGTTGTATGTGGTTTGTTTTGTTTTTTGTTCTAGAGTCAACAAGCGAGGATAGCAACACTATATCTTCCTTTATTTGGGCTGTTGATTGAAAATGTACAGCGGGTAAACGTTAAGGACACATCCCCGTTCTCTGCAATTCATACTGTAAGTGTTAGTGTGGTCTGATTTGTTTGTATAAAACGGTATTAAATCCAATAGTTTCAAGCAAGTCACTTAATTCTACAGCCATTTTCTAACAATATCTAAAGAACTGTTTCTTTTACTGCTTTAAGAATGCAAAAGATGACCTAGTCAATGTAGCTGCTGGAAATCAAATCATTGGTGACTCCTCAGAAGCCAGGCAATACCTTGGATAACAGTCTTCATAAAGATCTCTTTGGTGTTATTTCTGGCACAGGTGAGCTGTGTGCTTTGAGAACATTTAATAGTGCTACCTGATCATAAAGTGTGTTTTTTAGTAATATGAACGTGGAATCTTTTATGAGTTAAAATGTATTAAGCAGACAAAGCATCATTAGAAGTCATGTGACCGTTTCATAAAAAGAATGGCTGTATGTTGTAAGTCATTTGTATTACTGATTTCCAGTCAGCAGGCAATTCCCAGACCTCAGTGTGCATTAATCACTTGCCTACTGGGCACTTATACCACCTTCTTGCCTAGGCCAATTTTCAACGCTGTCTCACTTTGAGTGACAATTGCGTGGTCATGCAACATTGTGCCAATATAAAATTTTTAGCAGCATTTTATTTTCACACAAATAGATTTTTCTTTTGGTGGTATTTAATCGCCACTGGGTGTTTTATTTTTTGCACTATAAAACAAAAAAGAGCAAATTTGAAAAAAAAAAGATTTTCTTTGTTTCTGATAAAGTTTGCAAACAGGTATTTTTTCTCCTTCACTGATGTGCGTTGATGAGGCAGCACTGATAGGCAGCACTGATGGGCACTGATAGGCATTGATGAGGAGGCACGGATAGGCGGCACTGATAGGCATTGATGAGGAGACACTGATGATGCTGCACTGATTGGTGACACTGACGGGCGGCATTGACTGACAGCCTGACTGGCGGCACTGATAGGTGGCATTGCTAGGCAGCACTGCAGGGCACTGATGATCAGTGCCGATCTCCTTTGTGACAGCTGCTGGTTATTGGCAGTACTTTCCTCACGCTGTGACAGCGTGAGGAAAGTACTACCGACAACCAGCAACTGTATTTACTCCGTGATCTGCTGTGTCATTGGACACAGCTGATCACTTGGTAAAAGGCCACTGTATTGGCCCTTTACCTCATTACATGATCAGCTGTGTCTGTAGGACACAGCGATCACAGAGATCTCCGGGATCGTAGGAGGGCGCGTTCTGGGTGGACGTCATGATGCCCTCCCAGAACTGGGTAACTGCGCTATAGCCCGGCTACCAAGTGGTTAAAGAAAAATGCATGTTGTGGGTTTTGTGTTCCTTTTTTTAAATGAATCATCACTTATTTCTTCAATTTAAATCTAAATACAAAATGTTTCCTCGCAAGCATACAAATTACATTGTTCTTGGGTAGTGAAGTTGTTGATAGAAGCCACCATGTAGAAATCAGTGATACTTGGTTGGTAGTTTCCAGTGACCTGTGCTGGCCAGCACAGTTTTATGGCAATGGCTATCCACAAATCCACATGTACATCAGGCTACTATACCTTGTAGTGATTTTACCAAAACCAAAGAAGCATTATCATGCATGTTAAACATTGAGGTAAAATGATGGCAATGTAGCTTCTGTTTCTGACTGAAGTGACAAACACTTAAAGCGGAGCTCCGCCCAAAAGAGGAAGTTCCGCTTTAAGGATTGGTCCCCCGCTCCCTGTTAAGGATTGGCACCTTTGGGGAGCGGGTACCGGGTATCCGTCAATTTTGGGTACCCGCTCCCAAAGGTTCCAATCCTTAACGGGAGCGGGGGACCAATGTTTAAAGCAGAACTTCCCCTTTTGGGAAATCATTTTGCCTAGGTGATCTGAAGCGAAGTTGTCCTCCCTGCTCACGTGTCCCAGAAGACTACGGAACCATTCACAAAGCGCAACTGTACTCGCCCATGCGCAGTGAGCACCTGGGTGTGAAGCCACACAAGCTGTCACAGCCAGGTGCCCACACTGAAGACTGAAGATGCCGGCACCAGGGACACAGGGCGGCCAGTGAAACCGGCTGCTGGGGGGGCACTGTGGTATCAAGGGGCAGGTAAGTGTCCATTTTTTAAGTCAGCAGCTACAGTTTTTGTTTTATTGTTTACTTTCACTGGAACTCCGCTTTATGTTCCTTTTAAACGTCCAGTCTAATCAGGTCCCCCTGTCTGTTTTTCAGGCAGACCCAATCGAACACTCCATTCTGTATGGGCAGTTAGATGTAAATGGATTGTTTCAGTTTACATATGGCCGCCTCCAATCCGATCTTGCAAAAACAAGCGCAAGGGGATCTGTTCTTCTACGTCTGGCTGGATTGAAGAGCAGTCACGTGTAAACGGACAACCGATCCATTTATATCAGACTGCCCATAGAGCAGAACGGAAAGGGATTGGTCATCCGCTCACTCAGCTTTGCTTAGCTCAGCAAGGGATCAGCAGACAAATCCTCAACTGAGCAAACCAGATAAAAACAGATTGTGCCCTGTGTGAAATGGGCCTTTATAATGTGGACATGACCTGGCCATCCTATCCAGTTTTCTTAATCTGACCGACCTTTAAATTTTCAATACATCTACACTGTAGATGGATAGCTTTTCTGTTTGTCAAGTCACTGTGATATATCTACTATTTTGTGAATTTAAACTTCTTCCTAAGAGACTTTCTATAGGTTCTTAAAGTGATTCTAAAGGCTTATTTTTTTTAAATAAAAAATAACAAACATGTCACACCTGCTCTGTGCAGTGGTTTTGCACAGAGCAGCATGGATCCTCCTCTTCTCGGGTCCCCCTCCAGCATTCCTGACCCCTCCTCCTGTTGGGTGCCCCCACAGCAAGCAGCTTGCTAGGGGGGCATTCGGTGCTCCATGTGTCTATTTACACACAGTCATGGCTCGGCCCCACCCCTTCTCTCTTCTCATTGGCTCACTGGCTGTGATTGACAGCAGTGGGAGGCAGTGGCTCTTGCTTCTGTCTCAACCAATGAAAAGCGGGAGTCCTGGGATAACTGAAACTCCAGTGTACATTGCTGGATTGAGAGGGGGCTTAGGTGAGTATTTGGGGGGGGGGGGGATGCTGCACGGAGAAGTTTTTTTTACCTGAATGCATAGAATGTATGAAGGTAAGCCTTCACAACCATTTTACCTAAAAGCCTAAATGTAATCTTTAAATGTACACATGAAAGTGCATTGCTGCACTGCTTTACTCCTTTGGATCCACTGCTTGATTTGACCCTCCTGGGGTGATGTAGTGGAAATTGGCAGTGGAATATGTGTGTGCTGATGATGCTGGCTTGCTTACTGCATAATTAAGAAATGAAATACCGCTTTCCTTCCACGACTGTCTTGTGTCTTCTTGTTGATTGCCTGGCAAACGTCCTGCAGGACCAGTTGAGAAATAAACATCCACTCTTCATTATGCCTGTTTTAATTTGTGTCCTGTTAAATATGCCAGAGCTGACAATGTGTGACTCAGTAAACATATGAAGTCTGTTTAATTGTCTTTTGCAGCTTCCCCGCATACCTCATCTACGCCTAACATAAACAGCGTGAGGAATGCAGACTCTCGAGGGTCTCTCATCAGCACTGATTCAGGGAACAGTCTTCCAGAAAGGAACAGCGAAAAGAGCAGTTCTTTAGATAAGGTATATCTTTAATACTAAGTGTCGCTTTCTGGTGATATGCAACAGTCTATTTTTGTCAATGTCAAGTATACTCATGTCTGTATGATAGGCATCACTCTTGTTACTATTGCATTTCTCTTACTTTTCAGTCTATCTTTTGTATTCTTAAAGTAAACCTAAAGGTAAACTTTTTTTTTTAAGTTTTGGAAAGAGTGGAGAGGGATTAGAACATCTGTTAGGTTTCATTGCAGTCTCTGCCCCCATTAAGGGGATTCACCCTTTCTATGTGTCCTGTTTACCATTATCATTGAAAGTGCAAATAAAAAAAGTCTCTAATTTTGGATTGTCCCCAGAAAAGTAATAGAGGGGAAATCTTCCAATGGGGACACTGGTTCTGGTGACCTGAGGGTCCGTAAGGAATTCCCTTAACTAGCAGGAATTTCCTTTCACTTCCTGTTTTGAATATGGGACAGGAAGTAAAAGGAAATCTCCACAATGGGGCACAGATGGTAAAATAAAGAAAAGCTGATGGGGTTATAACCCTCCCTTGCTCTATCCAAAATGAAAAAAAAAAGGTTTTGCATATAGCTCTGCTTTACCATCGTAGGATTTTTGACAGCATTTCTAATCATGATGTTTATATGACTGTCTCACTTGTGCTTATTAATGAACTCACATTCTTATCCTTATTACACACAGCAAACTGAAGTAATAACATAATGGGAACTGTACCATATTTGCATGGAGTGTGCCATTCTCAGGGGTTGGGAGTGTCCGTCTTTAATTTTCTGTATGTGTGTGTAATGTATTATACTTAATCTGCACTTTACATTATCACAGGTTTTGTAACATTTCCATCTCAACCTTTTTACATGCCTTCATTGAGCAGAAGGACAGGCTCATCCGGAGGCACTCTGCACATGTCTTACGCTGTAGTGGAGAGGAAGAGGACTGCACACAGGCTGCTAAGAGAAACCGTTTTACTGTGGATTTCTCTATGCTGACAGTGCCTGTGCTGTCAGAGAGCTTTGTGCATGTTTCTACCCAATTACAAGAAGTATTATTTCTTTCTCTGACACTTGAACAGTGTTTAGTTATGGTGTGTGTTAAAGGCCAAGTCCAGCTAAAACTTGTTTTTCAATTTTTGAGGGATGCTGATTTGTCAACCACATATTTATTTTATCTTTTAAGGACTTCAAAATGGAGTCCCTCATACGGGAGTCAACAGCTGTCTCCCCAATGCTGGGCATTCTGAAGCCATGCAGGGGATCTCACTTTCCTGATATGAGTGATCAGTGCAGAATCCAGAATATTGAATGAGATCCTGGTATAAAGGCGGCTACTGCTGGTGGGCAGAGCCATAAAACTTGGTGCTGGAATGGTGCTATTGGATTCCCAGAGCTGGTCATACATATTACAGTATGATTATAAAATCTCTGTAAATCGATATCCTTCAGATTTTCTAAAACTGTGTAATGTGAGGGAATACTGAAACAATCAATTTAATTTATGTTTAATCATAGTTGTCAGTACATCTAAAGAGGTTTGTAAAATCGGATTGTAAATTAGATGGTCCATAATTTAGAAGCCGATGTGTAATTTCACCTGTAATGATCTCAAAATTGAAAAATTTGTATTTGATGGATGTAGCCTTTAGAGGTTTCCCAGTAATGTGCATCTGATGGGACCTGTCATTTTATAAATAAAAATGGTTTCCAGTTGAGCCATAGCAGGTTGCTATCTGATGCGTATATAGTTCAATGGGTAACTAGTCTTGGTTTGTGGTGTTTGAAGTGGTTCACTAAGCTATTCTGTTTAAAACAATTGCTTAGCCTTACAGCAAAATTAGGCATTTTATGACTCTCTAAATATACTGCCATGGGCTGCTATAAAATGATCTTTCACTACGTAACTTGTGCTAGACACATAGGGCAGATTTTCTGGCTAATAGTTGTATGTGCAAGATAAAATTCTGCATCTAAATGCAGTTAAGCTCATTTAATCCCAGGTGCCTAGGTAACCAGTGCATCTAAAAAAAAATACATCTGGTTTATTACATTTTTAGAACCTTTTTTGTTGGTAAGGTAGAAACAAGTGTATTGGCTTCTTTAAATTGAAAGTTTGTCCACTGAATGATTTGGTCTTTTCTTTTCAAAGCTTGAAACAGAATTTCCCTATACATAGCTTTATGGCTTTGAAATGAGTGTGTATCTGTTTGGATTGCTGCCCTCTTGTGTACAGTTTTATTTCCATAATT